CCTGTCTGGAGTGATTTTTTTTTCCTGCCTAGTTCCAGGCCTGTTAAATTTCATTAATTTCCTAGAAACTGGAAGTGAGAGGAAATGAGACAAGCAAAGTTTTTAAAAAGCGTCTCATCCAAAATTATGGAGTGAGCTTTCTGATGTTGGAAGAAATGTCCTTCTGGGTTCAGTTCCAAGCGGGGAAAATTCATGGAAGTTGCTTGGAAAGAAGATTTTAATGGACAGGACCACATGGCTTGAGGCCCTGGGGAAAAGGGGGCTCGCATGCTCAGAAGCATCGCGCATGGTAGCGCGCGGGAGCGTGCCCGAACTAGCAGTAAAAAAATTAGCAACCCACCTCTGGGCTCCACCTTATGAGCTTCCTGTTCCTGTATAACAAATGTATTCTGATTGGTTCTCAGACTCCCAGGGGGCGGGGGTCTTAGCTAACTTTGCTGATTGTCGGTGTCCCAGGCTTGGTTGAGCCTTGCTGGGTGATATAATCTTCCCAGGTGCCATGTGGTGAGATGGGTAGAGGGCTAATCCTACCTTTGTTGAATCTTGGGTGAGGGCATTTCCCTATGAATGGACCTAGCTATCTCTTTAACTCTTAAGGACATCTGCTGTGGGTTATTGAGGAAGGTGGGGGCTATTAAGAGTCTGCTTCCTGCCCAAAAAAGCATGTTTCTCCACTTCTCGTCTAGGGAAATATAACACTCTGCCTTTTCAGTATTTCCTAGGATATTTCATTTTTCTAGGAGAGGGGTGGGTGCTAATTTCCTTTACTGATTTAGTGGGAATTGGGTTTCCTCAGTCCAGTCTTAGGACTAATTAGACAAATGTCCAGCCAATTTTTAACTTTGCTTCCAAGGCCCACATCAGACATGATTTCCCCTCAAATACTGATAATCCTTGATTTACAATCATTCATTTAACTACTGTGGGAAGTACACACCGAAAAGACAGTGCCAAAAAACCTCACAGCACCAAAAACCTCAGAAAACAGTGCCAAGAGATTCAAACCAGCCTTTCCCCCTTTAAGAAAACCAAGAAGCACCAGATGAAAGGAAAACTCAGAGCAGCCCTGTTAATGGCTGTTACAAAAGTAACAGAGCTGAGTAACAGAAAAGTAACAGAAACACTTAAGTAGAGCCATTAACATAAGGGGAATCAGGCTAAAAATAAACTCTCCAAGGTAAACTGGAAACCCCCTCTTCCTGCCCCCTAACAGAATTAATCTTTAGGACAGGAAAAACAAAAGAACAGGGACCAAGATTAATGTAGGAAAACAAAAACCAAGGCATTCAGAAACACATCAAAACCCATCGAGCTGCAGGAGCTTCAGAGGGGAATTAAGCATAAAAGGCTCAGATTCATACTTCCAAGCTGCTTCCAAGCCACGAATGGTCCAGCTGTGTCACTTTTTGCTTCTTGCCTTCCTACATTAAAAGAACTCCACTTTCTGGCAACTGGCTTCTACATCCATTTCTTCTCAGCGGTTGCATGTGTGTCCCAGCGGGGAATGAACCGAGGAAATTTCTTCCAACACTACCATTCAAAATTATAACAACAGTGACTTACAACGAATCCTTGCACTCACACCAGTTCACACAGCCTTGCCAGGGTCTTGTGACCTAACTTCAGGTGCTCGGCAACCAACATGTATTTACAATGGTTGCAATATCTTTATCCAGGAAGGTAGATAAGATGAATTGCGCAAGAGAAATCTCTGTGTGAATGAAATTTTAAGGGGAACAGCGATTGCACAAGGGCAATTCCACTCTCTCGGCAGAAGAGGCTTTAATCCAGTGGAGAACTGTTATAGCTGGGACCCTTCCTGATGCAGTGCAGAACCAGGATGTCTGAGTATCTTGTCATGGGTAAGGTTTCAGAAAGATGAGCTAATTAATTCATGAGCCTCGAGCCAAGTTTCAAAAGAAATACAGTCATTTATTAGGAACACCATTTCGGCAATACCTCATTGCAGTCAGAGCTGACCTCATTTTAATTACGGTTGAACTTTGCCCCTGTTTCTTCTCTNAAAAGATGTGGAGACTCTAGAAAGAGTGCAGAGAAGCACAACAAAGATAATTAGGGGACTGGAGGTTCAAACATATGAAGCACGTTTGCAGGAAACGGGTATGGCTAGTTTAATGAAAAGAAGGACTAGGGGAGACAAGATAGCAGTGTTCCAGTATCTCAGGGGCTGCCACAAGGAAGAGAGGGACAACTTATCCTCCAAAGCACCTGAGGGCAGGACAAGAACCAATGGGTGGAAACTAATCAAGGAGAGAAGCAACCTAAAGCTAAGGAGAAATTTCCTGACAGTGAGAACAATTAATCAATGGAACAACTTGCCTCCAGAAGTTGCTCCAGCAATTCTCCAACAATGGAAGTTTTTAAGAAGAGATTGGGCAACCATTTGTCTGAAATGATATAGGGTGTCCTGTCTAAGGAGGGGCTGGACTAGAAGACCTCCAAGGTACCTTTCACCTCTGTTATTCTATTCTGTTCTATTCCATTCCACTCCACTCCACTCCATTCTATTCTATTGCCCCACTTTGGAGTTTAAATCCATATAGAAAAGGTGCCTTAAAAACTTATGTAATAAGAACTTGGTGACTCTTGATTTTTGGTTCTTTTTACTTTTTATATTATTTATTCAAGATGGATAGTTGTTTATTGTACAACAAGAAGTACATGAAATACAGATGTTTTGTTCAGTTCAATGGCCGTTCTTTGGATGAATTTAGCGTAGGTTAAAAAAGAAAGATGGTAAAACATATACATATATTCCAGATAAATGATAGCCCAATCTGTAACTTTAACATATTAGGATGGAAGTATAAACAGTGTGTATTATTGTTTTCCAAAAGTACATGTTTGTTGAGCAATTTACGATGATGGAACTGAGCCATTTTATGGGAACTGTCAAACTGTGTTTGTCTGGCTCACTCACTAATTTAACTCCTGCCTGTGCAAGTTTCATTTCACTTGTTTTCTCCAGAAATCACTTCCAGTGTGTCAGCAATTCCAGAAATTGAATTAATGTCCAAAATAAATAAATAAATCACTGGGGCTTGTGTAAAACTTGTTTCCATTAAAAACCTTCAATTTGGGGGGGTGAAAGAGAAGAGATTATTTTATTTTAAGATTTTGCATTGCCCCAATGTAATTGACAGAATTAACTGTGAGAGAAGAAGTATTACATTGAACACCCCCTATTAATGTTCTTCACATAACAATCTGGTTTAAGTCAGGTTAAATCCTAACTTGCATTATCCTTAGGACATATTAGGCCCTTAGGCATAAGTTAACTAACGTCCCTATCGTCCCCATCTCTGTATTTTTATTCTTTTATTCTTTTATTATTTTTGTTTAGCAAATTCAAATAAATAAATAAACAAACAAACAAATATGGCTGAAGTTGGAGTTTAATTTAATGAAGCCTATAGGTCACTTCAAGTCAGAGAACTATGCATAAATTCTAACAATATATTGTGCTGTTACCTGTAAATCATACTGATTTCTGTGTATGAAGGTATTTATTGTACAGGTATCCTCAACTTACGACAGTTCATTTAGTGACAGTTCAAAGTTAGAACGGCATTGAAAAAAGAGAGCTATGACTGGTTTTCATACTTACGACCAATGGTCATGTGATCAACATTTGAGGGGCTTGGCAATTGACTCACATTTATGACAGTCTCAGTGTCCCCCGGAGTCACGCGATCCTCTTTTGCGACCTTCTGACAAGCAAAGTCAACGGGGAAGCTGGATTCACTTAACAACTGTCCTCCTAACTTATCAACTGCAGTGATTCACTTAACAAACATGTCAAAAAAATCATAAAATGAAGCAAAACTCACTTAACAAATGTCTCACTTAGCAACATAAACTTTGGGCTCATTTGTGGTCATAAGTCGAGGACTACCTGTATATACCAACTTTGTACCAGAAAAATGCAGCTAGTCCCTGATTTACATCCACAACTGAGCCCAAAACTTTTATTGCTGAACATGGCAGTTGTTAAGTGAGTTTTGTCCCATTTTACCACCTCTTTTGCCACAGTTGTTAAGTGAGTTTTGTCCCATTTTACCACCTCTTTTGCCACAGTTGTTAAGTGAGTCACTGTGGATGTTAAGTGAATCGGGCTTCCCCCCTTGACTTTGCTTGTCAGAAGGTCGCAAAAAGGGAGCACGTGATCCCAGGGACACTGCAACTCTCAGAAATACGAGCTGGTTGCTAATTTGATCCTGTGATCCTGGGNTAATCTTCCCAGGTGCCATGTGGTGAGATGGGTAGAGGGCTAATCCTACCTTTGTTGCATCTTGGTTGAGGGCAATGAATAGACCTAACTATCTCTTAAGTGTGGACATGTGCTGTGGGTTATTGAGGATGGTGGGGGCTAAGAGTGAGTCTGCTTCCTGCCTAAAAAAAACATGTTTCTCCATTTCTCATCCAGGAAAACGTAATATGTAAAAACAAAACCTTTCTAATACTTCCTATAATATTTCATTTCTCTAGGAGAGGGCTGGGTGCTAACTTCCTACAATGTGATCAGCAAAGAAAATGCATTTTCATTTTCGATTCTGGCCTTCACTAAGGCTGTTGTCAGGGTTCCAAATAGCATCCAAATGTAAACCAGAGTCCGAGGCAAAAGTTTCCTCAAAGTTCCAATTTATTAAAAGAGCCATGTTGGCACATCTGGGAAAACCCAAATCTGAAAGCTTCCCAGTTTTCACCACCCAGTTGAGTCCAATCTTCCACTGCCACGCTGGCAGCTTCCACCCATCCAGTTCCACCCAGGTGCAGAGACAAAGGATGACCTTGAGTTTCTAAGAAGAATGTAATTATGGCTACCTACCACCCAACTCCATATAATCCTCCTTCCCATTTTCCCACAATAGAAAATGAATAGAAGAAAGTGTGGCAGGCCCAAAGTCCAATAGAAAAAATGGCTTACAGTCCTGACCGCTCTTCTCTCTCTCCCCCCCCCCCCTCTCTCTTGTTTTTAGGCTCGTCCAAAAGGAGAAGGGTTGACTCCATACCAAGGGAAGAAACGCTGCTTTGGAGAATACAAGTGCCCCAAATGCAAGAGAAAATGGATGAGCGGGAACTCATGGGCCAACATGGGACAAGAATGTATCAAGTGCCATATCAATGTTTATCCTCACAAGCAGGTATGGACAGGTTTCAAAAGAGGGTAGAAGTTTAAGAGATGTCCAGGTCGAAGACGCCTCCATGGCTGGATGGTGGCCATCAGAGGTCCTAAGCCAGGGGTTGGCAACCCGTGGTTCTGCAGCCGCATGTGGCTCTTTCATCCCTCTGCTGCGGCTCCCTGTCACTCAAAATATGTGTCACAACCGTCAAGGTGTGACACCTGCCAGCACACGATTTATTGAACTTTTTGACCGCCCAGAAGATTTTGTGGCTCCCAGTCTTTTATTTTCTCTGGGAAGCAGATCCAAATGGCTCTTTGAGTGTTTAAGGTTGCAGACTCTTGTCCTAAGCACAACTGCAATTGAAGTTTCTCAACTTTTCCAGTGCTTAATGGACAAGCCATGCAACTTCAGGAAGTGCTGAAAACCGAGGGGTAGCCACAAAAGAATTAAGGGAGTGATGGCCGCTGTGGGGATAAAGTGGTAAACCTCTTGCAAAACAACTCTTCGGTTTCCCAAAGAGCAGTTCAATTCAACAAGGACCCATATATGTTCAACTGCTGCCATATTGAGCAAGGCATATGTGGTACCTTGCTCAATAGAAGGAACTGTGAGAAGATCTTGGAGTCCTAGTGGATAATCTTCCTCCTCCTCCTCTTTTTCATATATATATAATTTCAGCCAAACTTGGTACACAGATGACTGTGAAAAATACTTTGGGGATATGACACCTATAACACCCTTTGGGATGTGTATTCTGTTAAGATGCAGCATGTTGTGCCTTTAGATGGCTTCTACTGTACTGCCATAAAATGGATTCTACTGTATAGCGCAGTGGAGTTGCCATGGTAACTGCTTCACAGTACTCCATAAGAGGCCTCCCTCTGGTAAGGGCGAAAATCCAACATTAGAAATTATGTTTGGTCCGGATATTTTCTCCCTATAAATAAATACCCAGGCAACCCTGGGTTATTGGTTAGTCATTTAAATATGAGCTAGCCAAGTGCTGCAGCTGCCAAAAAAAGCCAACACAGTTCTAGGCTGCATAAACAGAGGGATAGAATCAAGATCATGNGAACCTCTTCTGTAGGTGTGGCCTGCTTTCCGGGTCCACTGGTGGAACCTCTTCTAACCGGTTCAGTAGATTTGACAAACCGGTTCTACTGAATAAGTGCGAACTGATAGATCAGTTCTGATCTATCCCACCTCTGATCAGATCCATCAAAGTTATGATTGACAGTTTCCAGAAGGGGGATAATAAAACAACTACATAGAAAAGAACAACTGAAAGGACAGGGGGAACAGTTGGTGAATGCAAAGGAATGGCAGGAACTACTGATAAAGTCCAAGGGTTTTAACTTTTGCATTTAGCACAAATATTGTGGGGCAGCCAAAAATCTCTTTCCCACCCCCCACCCCCCACTCCAATGGGATGAAATTACCAAAGAAGTCAAGGAATGGGGGAAGGAAGATGGCTAATTGCAGGAAGGGAAAGCTTCGCTGCATTTTTCCGGGAATTGGAAAAATGGAAGCAGCCATCTTTTGAAATGCACCATAGAGTTGGAATCCCCTTCAAAGAAATTCCATCATGAACAATCTCTGAAGGCCAGTTTTGTTTCAACTCTGACTTTGAAACTGATCAAAGAAATGTATTTTTCAGTTTATTTTGTTCAAATCTGGCCTCGGCCAACCAGAGTATCTTTAAACATTTCTTTCTTCCTTTTTCTTTCTTTCTTTTTCTATTTAGCTATCTAAGGGACACAGTGGCTAAGACACTGAGCTTGTCAATCAGAAAGGTCGGCAATTTGGCAGTTCGAATCCCTAGCTTCTGTTACTTGTCCCAGCTTCTGCAATTTGAAAGCATGTAAAATGCAAGTAGAAAAATAGGGACCACCTTTGGTGGGAAGGTAACAGTGTTCCGTGCGCCTTCGGTATTTAGTCACGCCAGCCACATGACACAGAGCCGTCTTTGGACAGCGCTGGCTCTTCGGCTTTGAAACAGAGATGAGCACTGCCCTCTAGAGTTGGGAATGACTAGCACATATGCGCGGGGAACTTTTATCTATCTGTCTGTCTATCTATCATCTCTCAATCATCCATCAATCTACTATCCTCTATCATCAGAGCTGAAAGATAAACAAACCTGCAGAAAGCAAAGAATTTCGCAAATTTCAGGTTCCTTTCAGTTTCCAAAAAGATTGTCCTTGTTATAATGTAGCTGCTGTTCTTGTTAACGTTAATATTGTTGGAAGAAATGTCCTTCTGGGTTCAGTTCCAAGTGGGGAGAAATGGTTTTAATGGTGAACAGGATCACAAGACTCGGAGATGTTGGGTGAAGAAGTAAAAAAGGGCAGAGATGCTGAGAGTGCCTGAGTTTTATACCCTCTCTGGGCTTTTGAATTTGAGCTTGCATTCTGATTGGTTGTCTGACTCCCATGGGGCCATGCAGAGGCAACTCTGTAGGCTGTCCTGAGTCCCAGGCTTGGTTGAGCCTTGCTGGGTGATATAATCTTCCCAGGTGCCATGTGGTG